CCAAAAAAGAACAAATTCTAAATTTTCACGTCTTACGTTGCTTCTCCATTTTGTTTACTATTTTATAATCTCCATTTGGAAAATCTACCCAGAATCACACAAAAAAATATACGACTCACAACCAACTCGTTCAGATTTTATTTTAGAAACACACAAAAAGAAAAGGAACCTTTGTCATCAAATGGCTTACATATACATGAAATTGACCCATGGTGTATAATAGAAATGATGTGTTTATGTTACTATCGTAGTCATATCTGATAACATCTTTAGTTAGTGTTAGGACAAGTGAATCTATATTTAGATTTTTTCAACCATTGGATCAGTTGTCATATAAGGCTCATTAACTCGTCATGTGCGTATGTAAACTATGTGGGGGAGTGTCTCTTTAGGCAGCTGTCTATCAATTTTAATAGCAGTGAATATGGACCACACTCTTGTTTCAACAATGAAATTAATTTTATTTCTTGTTAGTACAACTTGTTGATATAACTCTGCAACTACTTATACATGTCGTTGCTTCATCTACGTGCTGGTTGGTACCTTAACCACATTCAGTATTTATGGCCCCTCTCCCCATTTTTTCATTTTTACACTATCGCTTTATCAGCCGACAATTTTCTCTTTCTTTAAAATCTTCAAATATAAAAACACATGCCAAATATCAAAATTCATTCCTAATTCTATTTAGCCATCAAATTATATTGTTAGCTATGACAGATTAAGCAATAGATTAGCGACAAAAAAAAAATTCATATTTCTTTTTGGTAGTATTTAACTTGAATGTTTCTTTAGGGTGCATTGAAATTTGAACTTATGAGTTACGACCTCTTGTTTGTTCTTTTTTAGTGTTGAGGTATCTAACCATGACTAAAGGATCAAAATCTTACCTAAATTCGGTATTTATATTGCACTAATAAATGCATGATATGTGTTTGATAGAGGATTATTATCACTCAATCATGATTAATTAATACTATATATTCTTACCCGGTGATAAGTTGATATAATTACTATACGGTATTGGTATAATTTAAATATGGTTCAAGCGTAGCGTTAGAGAATTGAGCATAAATGGTAAAAAGGGGTTGGAATTCAGCGTGATATTAAATGGCAACATTAAATAGTTGTAACATATAATGGACTACAACTCTAAATTGTGGAGCCTTAAAAACTATCGCCAAACATATACAGGGAAGTTCTCAAGTATCAAGTATGGTAGTGAATTAAGAGCTGCTTGCAGTAAAGAAAAGTGTGCTATGACACTCTTAACTTCCTATAATCACGTTTCTATTTTTAATTTTAGTGAACTAAACGGTTGTGAGCACAATCAGATTATGTTTTTCAGATCATATCATATATATTTAACTTGGTCTCATACTTTTCTAATTATGGTGTGCACAAGTAGACACGTATATTTGTATGAAATTGACTAAGTCGATACATGCATCCTACATGACTATTCCGCTGAGATATGCTCGTCTTACTGTATAACCAATTCATATTATGTCATGTAGGCCGTGTGTATATATTTATTCAACTTTATACAAATTTAAATATTTACTTGTGTACATCCCCAGTTGGATTACATAAATACCAACCAAGATCAAGCTAAAATACACATTTACATATTATGTCTATTTTTAAAGTTACATGTTCATATCTATTTATGTAATTTTAATAAATTTTCAAGTAAATTTATACGTACTCCACGTCAAAAGTGTTGGGTTTCAAATAAAACCACCCTTATACATTAGTCCCCTCTGGTTATGACGGATGAATTTATCCCTAAATTCTTGACTATTGCAACTTCTATTGTCATTATTATTATTATAGAAATTAAGGATTAGTGGTGAATGATCATGTGATGAATGACTTTATGTCATTTTCTTTTGAAACCCCAGTGTGCACATCAAAAGGGCACAATCATGTGCCATTAATTTTTGTTTGAACTTATCCACTAATACTCTTAATTATGATTAGGATTTAAGCATTATCTTTTGTTTATCTACTACTTATTTTGATTAACATGCATGTTTAAAGTAAAATTGGTTCATCAACAAATAACTAATTGGGCTCTCGTGTGCCAAAATAGAGAAAGTTATACTAATCTTTTACGAAATGCAAGATTTTGGACTTTGTAGACTCTTAAAATTCCAAATTAGTGTTTCCTAGTAGTAGTAAGTAGTAACAGCTTCATAGAACTGTTAACATCGAAGAGTTCCACAACAGAAGAAATAAAAAGATAATACCTAACAAAACAACAAAACGTGTGACAGGGTACGTTTGTCTAGTTCGATATGGTGAAAATTGCATCACTTTGCTTTCTAAGCTAATTCAAGATTTAGTGTCGGTAAATTCATTCATGTGATCGAATTATGTTTCTTATATAATTTTTGAACCTTTTGGATATGTATATAATAACTTGTTCAGTGGAACCTACAAAATTCACTTCAAATATGTCTCTACTCCGTAGTTAGAGGTAGAGGTAGAGTGTAAGTTGGAGGTTTACATGAATCCATGATATGTTGTATATGTATTAAGAAATCTACCTAAAATATTTAAGATGAAAAATGTTTTTCGAAAAATATTCTCTTGGAAAACAAGTGATGTTCTTATTTATTTTTAGTGTTTGAAATGTAAACAAAAAAAATATTATTTTAAAATAATTTATATGTAATCTAGCAAAACATGAGTATGAGGATGAGATGGTGTCACTAAAACAAAAATGATCATTAGCGGCATTTATTTCTTAATTGTCGTATGTCCGTAAAGCCTTTAGTAACATTGGGTTCTAATGACACTTAACTAATATCGATAAAATCTTTAACACTCTTTATTACTGTCAATATTTATCGCTAAAAGTTGTTTTTGTTATAGTGTGTGGGGAGTTGGGGTTCGAGGGTGGCATGGTGGGATGGTCAGGGGTCGGGTCAGAGGTGTTGGATGGATAGGGAAGAGACAATGAATTTGGGATGTCACTTATTCAATTTTTTTTCACTTTTTCTTATTCTTAAAGAAAATGTTTTTAAAAATATTTTTGACTTACCAACATGAAAAATTTAAAATATCAAACACATAAATTTCAAATTTTCAATCTGTCTCCGGCTGTCTGCTCCAGAAGTGTATATTATAAGGTGTATTGTGGACTAGGTCTTGGTGCGGATAATGTGGCATAATTTTGTATAATCACACTAAATTTGCAAAGACAAAATGACACATGCATGGAGTAGTTTAATTTCACTAAACAATATTTAAAGCGGTGATGTTATTTAGTCAACACATGGTCTGAGCTGGTTACCAATGTGTACATGGAAATTAAATTAAAATAGGAAACCTCAACGTCAAAATGCTTTTTGGGCTGTTATAGACTTTGATAAGATGCGTGGAGTCACTTTTATTACATCAAAATTGAAAAATATAAACAGATGAAGCCTATATTGTCTTAGGTTTCTCATTTGTCTTGAAACTTTATGATATTTGATTGTCTGGAGAAAATCTTTTTATTTTATTTATTTATTTACTGAAAAATCCGTAATCAGTGCAACTCTTTCTGGGAAAATGATGGATAAGACCTCTAAATCTCTGAGTTAGTAATGTCTGGTTTCTCATGTTTGAATTTTTAATTTTATTTTTTCAAAAAATATAGTAATATTTTCTTGGTCAACAATATTCACTTAACACAACCAACTCACAGACATAATAGTAATTCGTGTACATGAATTTGAATTACGACTATTTTTGTAACGTACAATCTTGTACTCTATCGCCATTTGAAAATTTATTGGAAAATAATAATAATACAAGGTAAAATAAATACAAATGATATGTTATATATCTCTGGATCTATTTTGTGAACATTTTAATTGCCTTCGGACTTCAACCTTGAGGAGATATTGATAGTATCCGATTCTGGTATTAGCGGAAGGATTGCAGTTATGTGTGTATCTTGATATTAATTATACAAAACAAATATAGATATATATACTCGATGTGAAATTCAATCAAAAGAGATTTAAGAATAATCTTGATATTCACAAATTCAAGACCTGATTCTTTTTATTTTTTTTCTCTTTCTTCTTAATAATAATGGAATCATATTTAACTTTTTTTTTTACAATGAAATCGACTAATCAATCTCGTAACAATATAGTACGTAACATATTTCTTTTTTCAAATAACAATAGTGTTTGGATTTGCTTACTACTATTTCATAAGGCATAATTAATATCAAATATTCAATCTACCTGTATTATTGATCTTTAAGCTACACCGTTGAGTACAAGAACGTGATAGTACTGAAAGAACATTGTGGATACAAATGTTGAGACAGGATTAACGAATCTGATTAAGTAGATAACATTTTATGGTTCCCAGTTGTTCTCCATTTTCATTAAAAAAAAATAATAATGCTACTATATAGAGGGTACAATTAAATTAGCCATACGTAATTTCACCAATCACATGAATTGTACCACTCTGCTATTGACCCGACCCTACACATACTGGATTCAATTTTGCAATGGAATTCCAGAATAGGACTGCTTCAATACCACGCGGCTTCTTCCCAGAGAAAACAAAACCTCTACGTATATATATATTATTCCCTCTGTCTCAATTTATTTGATACAGTTCAAAAATCAAGAGTCAAACTTCATATTTAAAAATTACATAAAAAGTATCAAAAGTAATAAAATTACAGTATTTAGAGGTTATACAAGTAAAATTACTTCAAAATTAAGGCTCAAAATTCAAATTATGTTATGTAAATTAGGAGAGCAAAAGTAGTAACTTTTCCAACTACTCAGGCAATTCCTTTAATTCTATGATGAAAAAAAATTATATTTTTATGTGAATATGCTAAGTAGAGAGAGGATGGTCCCAAGCAACAGTTAAAGAAACTTTATCAGTTGGTCAGCTTAATTTAATATTGGACCTTTTATTTTAACGCCCAAACCACCCTTTTAGTTCCTCTATTTATTCTCCACGATTGCTGATATCTTCATTTCCTAACTATACCCTCGTTCCTCAAGCAAACACATAGAAACTTTATTTTTTTGTGAGTCATTTTCCCTAGTTGTTCAATTTATTTTTTTTTATAGTAAACTGACTTCATTAGCACTAAACTTTAATTCCATCCCCTGCAGGTTCAAAAATGGCTCTTTTAGCTATCCTTTTAATGGGAATTTCCCTCATGTTTCAATCAGCCCATGGCTATGGTGGTTGGATCAATGCACATGCCACTTTTTACGGTGGAGGAGATGCTTCTGGAACTATGGGTACTACAATTTTTCACTTGAGCCTAAGCTTGTAGTCATGTAAAAAAACTACTGAAATCGTGTGTGGATTTTGACAGGTGGTGCTTGTGGTTACGGAAATTTATACAGCACGGGATACGGAACGAACACTGCTGCGTTGAGTACTGCTCTGTTCAACAACGGGTTGAGCTGTGGAGCGTGTTTTCAGCTAATGTGTGTGAATGCGGGGCAGTACTGCCTGCCAGGCATAATTACGGTAACAGCCACCAATTTCTGTCCACCAGGAGGATGGTGTGATCCTCCACGCCCTCATTTTGATCTCTCTCAACCTATCTTCTTGCGCATTGCTCAATATAGAGCTGGCATAGTTCCTGTTGCCTATAGAAGGTAATTTATATTTACCCTTCTCTTTATATCGAAATTGAAACTGAGAAAGAGTATGTTCTCATAGACCGAAAAGTTTATTTGTTTATGGTAACTAAATTATTGTGTTAATGTTTTACAGGGTACCCTGCAGAAGAAGCGGAGGAATTAGATTTACAATCAATGGCCACTCTTACTTCAACTTGGTTCTTGTAACAAATGTTGGAGGTTCAGGGGATGTACATTCAGTATACATAAAGGGTTCAAGAACTCAATGGCAACCAATGTCAAGAAATTGGGGCCAAAATTGGCAGAATAACGCTTACCTTAACGGCCAAAGCTTGTCCTTTAAGGTCACTACAGGCGATGGTCGCACTGTTGTTTCATACAATGCAGCTCCTAGTTCTTGGTCATTTGGTCAGACATTTTCTGGAGGACAATTCCGTTAAAACGCAACATATTCTTTAAGAAAAAAAAATCAGAATTTTCAAAGTATACTACTTGCTAATATATTATTCTAAGAGTTTTGCCTTAAATTTGAGGGTTTTACTCACCAAAATATTTGGGGAAAAGCGCAGTTTGGCACTTTTTGTCCATTGTAAAATTGGTCATTCAATTGTGGAAGTAAAAAGAATTGATTTGGCCTACTCTTTTTTGGGTGGTTATTAACGTTTAGGGGGCGGCAGTTGTGAGCTTTTACTGCTCAATTTAATAGTATAAATAGCATTTACGGTATTGTGTGCATAGAAGAAAAATATCTATTTTTTTTTTTTACTGCAAAAGAGCTAAGCACTAATTATGGTGAGTATGTATGTACCAATTGTCTCTAGCTATTTGTTTGTAAGAAAATGTTACTATAATAATAAAAGGAAACTCCAAGTTGTACTAGGTGCAATGTCTTATAAAGAGCATTCTCTACCTTACCATTTCTTAATGATGTCTTCTTCTAAATATGAGAGTTTTTACTATAAAAATGCATCAATCTCAAATAAATTATAGTAGATATACAAATTTTTAACATTTTTTTTCTTTTTTTCGAGTGAGGTGAGAAAAGTAGAGGAAGTTGAAACGGAAGAAATACGTAAATAATTATGGATGGTCCACTAACTTAACTAAGTAGAACGAATTGACAATCTCGAATTTATTCGATCATAATAATGATTTAAAACTCCACCTACAAGAAATAATTTTTCACATTATTCCTTAAAAAAAAAAAAAGAGAAAGCAATAGTATTTAGATAAGTAGTTATGTATTTAGATAAAATTGTCAAAGTTAAAAAAAATTGTTGATGTGTTTGACAAATAAGTGCTGGTAACACTTTTTTTTTAATCAAAATGTCTGAAATATACCCTTAAAAGTTGTTAACATGATAAAAAATGATTAATTTAATAATAATAATAATAAATAATATATAATAATAATAAAGAATAATAATAATAATAAAAAAATAAAAAAATATTAATAATGATATATAATAATAATAATATATAATAATAATAATAAATAAAATAAATAATAATAATAATAATAAATAATTAAATATAAATAATAATAATAATATAACAATATGAAAATAATAATAATAATAATTATTATTATTATATGATATATATATAATAATAATAATAGTAATAATAATAATAATAAATAATAATAATAATATATAAAGTATTATTATTAATAATAAATAATAATATATAATAATCATAGATAATAATAATAAAATAATATGGAAATAATATAATAACAATATAATAATAATATATAATAATAATAATAATAAAGAATAATAAAATAAATAATAATAATAATAACAATAATAATAATATATAATAATAATAATAAAGAATAATAAAATAAATAATAATAATAATAATAAGATAAAATAATAATTGAAAAAAATTAAAAATAAATAAACCATAAAAATAAAAATAAAAGAATTAAGGGTAAAAAGGTAATATATACGGTCAAGTTAAAATAAGTAATTTTTGACTTAAAATAAGTTATTTTTTTTTATATTTGTCAAACATTTTAATAAATCAAAAACTGACTTTTTAAAGTTAGTTTGACCAACTTTTAAGTTCATCCAAACAGGCTTTTAATCAAGTGTATTGAAAATTGAACTCTACCGAAAATCTTTTTAGAGCATTTTTGGCACTGCTGTTGGATGCCAAAAGTGCTTCTTTTTTTTCTCGATAAAAGCTTTTTTTATTTAAAAAAAAATAATGTTTGGTAAATTCTCAAAACTGCTTTTAAATGAAAGTATAAGCAATTTTCTGTTGTCGGGAAGAAACTAGAAATTTCTGCTTAGAAAATTATTTTTTTGAAAACTATAATATCCCTCTCAAATATAGATATATTTACGAATATGTCTCTTACTAATTAACATATATCATAAATCTGGTTAAGTTTCATACAAGAAATTTATTTTTATTTTTATTTTTTATATAATAATTTCTTATTTTATGTTTATATACTATTCTTAATTTTCGTTTTATATATTATTAAACGTCTTATTTTAAGTAAATGTAACAACAACATTTTTGTTGGATTAAAAATATGAAAGTTTTTATTTATTTTTGTGGTGAACTTTTTGTAAGTAGTGGTTTCATTTGTGGAATAGTTTTAAGTTTATTTTTCTTGATATTCTGAATTATACTTGAGTCATCTTGTCAATATTATATTAATATTTAATTAATTTATTTCCATGTGTAATATCAATTGAAAATTTTGAATATGCATATACTTCGTTAAAAAGGTTAAATCAATATATAAAATAGTTTCTACCTATAAAATAATTTTAGTATTAAAAGTACATTGATATTTATCTTTTTTCGTAATTTGACTTTCAAAAGCATTTATTAAAAAAAAATAGTCAAACAAAATTTATTTATTAAAAACACTTTTCAGACGAATTAGCTAAACAGAAATTATTATTTTTTCAAAAATATTTTTTTAATTAAAAATACTTCTAAAAAAATAAGCATTTTTAATAGGAATGCTCAAAAGGCTCTTAGTAACACAACAACCAACAAAGGTAACTAACCTGTATAGGATTTCATACATTTCACGCTTTTAAATTGTAAATTAAATAATTCATTTTAATATAAATATTTATTTATGTAATATTTAATATGCTTATATAACAATCTAATATATATAAACAAAACATTTCGCATGATGAATTTAGTGGTGGCATAACAAAGTATATCACCCCTTAAAAAAAAGGTTATATAGAGTTCTCACTTTTGGCCGGCCTACTATCTTCAACATTTTTTCAATTATTTTGTGATAAAAATTTTAATAAATTTTTCATTTTTTATATTAAAAAAACAACGTATTAGTATCATTGATGTTATTGTGCATCTTTTTCATAAAATATGATAACAAAATACAATTAAAATGAAGTTTTTTGAAATAAAATTAAAGTAGTTAATATGTACAAATCACATGAAAAATTAGATCAATATTAACTACTTATCTATTTTTCTCTTAATTTAGATTTATTATTAACCTTTACTATTTACATGAAAAATAACTTTGTCATTCTAATGTACAAAATTAAGTAATTTCTCCAATTAAATCATTGTTGAATGGTATTGAAATTAAGACATTGATTCATTAAACTAAAAATAGTAATTCATTCTCCATTCAATAATATTTATTCATTAAATTAAAAATAGTTATTTTATAATATTTGTTTGGTTTAAAAAATCAAGAAATAATTTACTGTTGTTATTAAATTATTTATTATCTAACACATTTCTCAAAGTATTAAATTTAATAAAGCCAATAGATAAAATAGTAATATTATCTTTTTGTTGTAAAGAAAGCTCAGAATATAAGAAGAAAAAGACAAGAAGTATAAGATAGAGGAGATAATTTTCTTATTCAAGTATGTATTACAAAAGGTGAATGATATCTCTATTTATAGAGTTGAGATATCACCCCAAAAGCCCCCATGATAAATGTCCAATTAGTAGGTACATAGTTATCCAAATGATTCTTATCACCTTGGGAACATGTATACATGAATACAATTAAGTCTTGAGTAAATCTAAAGGACAATCCACACAATTCAATGGATTTATAACACTCCCCCTTGGATGTCCATAGATTATGTGCCTCGTTAAAACCTTACTAGGAAAAATCCAGTGGGAAAAAGCCTAGTGAAGGAAAAAGAGTACACATATCTCATAATACGCTTTGAATGTTGCCTCATTAAAAACCTTACCAGGAAAACCCAACTTGGGACAAAACCATAGTTAAGGAAAAGAGTACAACGCGTATTTCGCTCCCCCTGATGAAAACTTTACTTGATATCTCGGAGACGGCGCATTCCAATCTTGTATCTCAACTTCTCAAATGTTGATGTTGGCAATGCCTTAGTGAATAAATCAGCAAGATTATCACTTGAACGAATTTGTTGAACTTCTATCTCACCATTTTGTTGAAGATCATGCGTGAAAAAGAACTTTGGTGAGATATGCTTTGTCCGGTCTCCTTTGATGTATCCTCCTTTCAATTGAGCTATACATGCAGCATTATCTTCGTACATTGTGGTTGGTATATTCTTTTTCAAAGAAAAACCACACATTTTCTGAATATGATGGGTCATTGATCTCAACCAGACACACTCTCGACTTGCTTCATGGATGGCTATTATTTCTGCATGATTTGAAGAAGTGGCTACCAATGTTTGCTTCATTGATCGCCAAGATATTGCCGTGTCTCCACATGTAAACAAATAGCCTGTTTGTGATCGAGCTTTATGTGGATCTGATAAATACCCTGCATCTGCGTAACCAATCAGTTCTGATTTGGATTCATTGGAATAGAATAAACCCATGTCCATGGTCCCTCGAACATATCTAAGTATGTGTTTAACACCATTCCAATGTCTTTTTGTTGGGGAGGAACTGAATCTTGCCAGTAGACTTACTGCAAAACAGATATCTGGTCAAGTATTGTTAGCAAGGTACATTAGTGCCCCGATCGCACTAAGATAAGGAGTTTCATCACCAAGAAGCTCTTCATCATTCTCTTGAGGTCGAAATGGATCTGTATTGATGCCAAGCGATCTTACCACCATTGGAGTACTCAATGGATGTGAGTTATCCATGTAAAAACGCTTTAGTATCTTTTCTGTGTACGTTGATTGATGAACAAGTATTCCATTTGACAAATTCTCAATCTGTAGACCAAGACAAAATTTTGTCTTGCCGAGATATTTCATTTCAAATTCTTTTTGCAGACACTCAACAGCTTCTAAAAGCTCTTTACGAGTGCCAATGATGTTCAAATCATCAACATACACAACTATTATTACAAATTCAGACCCCGACCGTTTAATGAAAATACAGGGACAAATCGGGTCATTTTTGTACCCTTTCTTTAACAAATATTCACTTAGACGATTGTACCACATCCTTCCTGATTGTTTCAATCCATACAGAGACTTCAAAAGCTTTATTGAACAAGTTTCTCTTGAATCTTTGTATGCTTCAGGCACTTTGAATGCTTCAGGAATTTTCATGAAAATATTATGGTCCAATGAGCCATATAGATAGGCCGTGACAACGTCCATTAGACGCATTTCAAGTTTTTCATGAACTGCCAGATTTATGAGATATCTAAAGGTGATTGCATCTACCACTGGAGAATATGTCTTCATATAATCAATGCCAGGTCTTTGAGAAAAACCTTGAGCAACGAGTCGGGCCTTATATCTCATGACTTCACCTTTCTCATTTCTTTTTCGTACAAAAATCCATTTGTACCCCACTGGCTTGATACCTTCAGGTGTTCGGATTATTGGTCCAAAAACTTCACGTTTTTCTAGTGAAGCCAATTCAGCTTGAATTGCATCCTTCCATTTTGGCCAAT